AAAGGTCCGAGAAAAAAAAAAAACCTAAACCCTATGTGCAGGACACGCAGAACAGCTCCGCATCGCCGTTGCAGCCGATAAGGCCCGGGGTTGACGTTTGAAGTTCCCCCCCGCTTTTAAGGGCCTAGGATTGTGTATATATATATATATGGGTGGTTGTCAAAATTATGGTCCCTTTTTTGGGTACCCCAAATATTAGGGGCCGTATTATAGTAGGGATCCAAAAAGGGACCATAATTTTGACAACCAACCATATATATATGTATATATATATATATATATGGTAGTCTTCTGACGCGCCATCATAGACCAGTACCAGTGTAATCAAGTTCTTGAGTATGGCCCCAGATCATGGGACCACGAGGGACCCAAAACGATACAAAAAACGAAAAAGTTGGATTCACGAAAGGCCGTTTTGAAGGACCAGTCCCACCAGTAAGTGCTAGCAGTACTTGCGCTATCTGCCATACTGAGAGAGAGAGGGTCCATCGATTCCCACTCCATCTCCTACCCGTACGGTCAGAACTACCTGACTCATTGTTCTTTTTGTTGGCAGCGCCGCCCTCATATTCCTTGTGGAAGCCATTGAACTCTCCTTCATCCTAAGCCCTTTCTTAATTACTCTCTGTTGAAGACTTGGAAAAGCAGGGAAGCCCCAAACCCTGTAAAACGATAAGGAGTAAAAAAGACGATAAGGTTGAAGGTTACGGAGGGTTCCATACAGGGTGTTTATACAACCCCGTATAACTTACAACCCTATATTACCCTATATTATCCCAATTCTACCCCTCCCCCCCCGCCACCTCTCCCACGTTTTTGATAGGCGCATGACTTGGAAAGGTCTGAAAAGATGATGGTTTTTGAGGACTTTGCCACTGAGGCAGCAACTCGCCCCTCGGCTTCTGTGGCTCATACCATGCCAGTTTGTCAGGTCCAATCTGGATTGATTTTCGTGAACTCGGTTTAAGTTACCACAACATGGGTGTACAGTGGGTTTCCTGATTCTAGTGAACTTAAGTTCCTTAACAGCAACGCAGTATAATGGTAGTGAACCAGTTGAGTAGTATTTTATTTGGGGATATTATGGTACCCAATACAGAGTAAGATCATATCCTCCTTTTGGGGTATAGTACTTTATATAAGGAATATAATCTTACTAGGTTCAACCACCAAAAAAACACTACTCAAATGGAGTTACTACATGGGCTATAGGGGTTATTAACCTACTTACTAAGTCCCCCTGACCCCCCCAAGTAATAGTAGTGAACCAGTTGGAAGCCATCAGGCATGAAACAGTTCGTCCACGAGGAAGACGACGACGGCCAGGGAGAGGCTGCTGGAGTCTGAACATGCCAGCTATACAGGGATTATAGGGGTGTGGTTTTAGGGATTATAGGGGGATTATGTAGGGATTATAGGGGGATTATATAGGGATTATAGGGGGTGATTTCGGGATTAGAAGGTGGTTATGTAGGGATTATAGGGGGATTATATAGGGATTATAGGGGGGGGGGTATAGGGATACTGGCAAAGAACATGGAAACTGCTATAGTGGGGTTACATAGGGTTTAGGGTTAGAGAGGAATTCTGGGGTATATATTGTGGTGATATAGGGACAATGGACAAGAACATGGAAACTACTATAGTATGTTGGGATTTTCTAGGGATAATGGAAAGAAAACGGAAACTACTATGCTATATTGTTGGGGTTATATCCCTAAACTTTAAACCCTCAAAAACTTATCATTACTTAGGGTCCCCAAAGTTCCTTAATGAATTGCAAAAATTTAAAAGTTCAAGCTCAAAATTAACCCCCCCCCCCAAAACCCTAAGTAATGGTAACACACCGTAACACATGGAAGCTACTATTTAGGGTTTAGGGCCACCCCTCGCCACCCCGCAGCCGTGTTAATCTTCTGAAAGGCTAGCCTGACTGTCACATCAGACTTGTTGGTTTAGGGTTTAGGGTTAAACAGGGATTATAGGGTATATATTGGGCTTATATAGGGATAATGGAAAAGAAAATGGAAACCAGTAGCTGACAACAGGGGCTTGCAACGATTTCAGTAGGGCAGCTGACTGACAGAGCTGCTAGAGTCTCATAGTTCATTTGAGTGTGTCGTTGCCACCAGAAATATGCCGTCCAGAGCTTGTTGCAGGTCAGCCACTCACCGAGCACCACTCATAGTCATAGAAAGATTGGCAGCACTCACTCCAGAGGCAAGAGCTGCTGGGCCAGAAGTCAAGACATGAGCTATAGTCTCAACTCATTAAAGGGGTTATATAGGGGATTACATAGGGGAGCGTTACAGGGGCCATTCAGGGTGATACTAGGAGTTCGGACTATAGCTCGCATGCTTCTGTAATTTCGCCCAGATGTCGGAGCGCCCACAGCTTGCCAGTGGGCCCCCTCTAAGGTGGAATCTCTGACGAGGATGAGAGACTCCATTCTGTACGCGAGTTTGAGAAGAGGACCTACAGCATCTTGCGTTTGGCAAACATGAATATAGCAGAGTTTTAATGGCACACCGCATTTGTGCTTGGTTCTGTGCCTCAGGTTGCCTCTCAAGACTCTTGCAATGGGGTCTTTGCTGATTGGTTGTTTGATTTTACTCCAAGGCTGGCGAGGCAACCCTAAGCCCTATAAACTACCCTATAATCCCAGTTTCCATTTCATTTTCCATTTTCTTTTCCATTTGATTCTCCATTATTAATCCAAGCAGCCTTCAGGAGGTTGCCACCGAGTTGACATGGGTCTATGGGGCAGGCTGCTTCAGTCTGCCAGCTTGCGTGCGTTTAGGCGGTTGTGGAAACACGACTGGCTGCGAATGTATGATCGTGCGGTATTTCCGGAATTGGCTTTCCACGGTGTGTGTGGAAGCTGGCGGAAGGTTTCTTTGTTCGCGGAAGCTCTTGCCCAAGCTGGACTCAATGAGATTGTTCCCAAGACGAAGACTACAACTCCTTTGGCTGAAGCAAGAGCCGTCGTCCGGAAAATCCTCGCGGAAAGCTTCGGGCAAACAAGCTTGTACCAGCACCAGCAGCAGCAGCAGCAGCAGCAGCAGCAGCAAGCCCTGCTGACAGGCGCCACAGGTCTTTGCAGAAACCGCGTGAGAGCCTGTTATTAAAAGCCCGTGGGCGGAGGGGGAATGATTTCCAACGGACACAAGACGAAGCAAGAGCCCGCAGCTCGTCCGCCTGTGAAAAAGGCAGGAACATGTATGACGCTCTCTATCAGACTCTATTTTTTGTTGCTAAATACTATATTACCATAATACTATAATTCTACCGTGGCGGCACCCGCCGCGATGTGCAGCAGCTCGGGTAAACCCCCCAGAGCTCGTCAATCGAGCTGCCGGGCCAAAGCTGACGTTGCTGCTGGCGCGCCTGGGTAGTGTTGCCGTTGCGCGGAAGCTTGCGCCTCTCTTGTGAGATTCCCGGCATGCTGAGCCAGTACGTAGTCAGGGGACTTCAAGTCTAAGTTGGACTTGGCAGGACCTCAGCACTCGAGAACATTGTTGTAGCCATGGAGAGCAGCCACAGGCTGCGTCTGACCTGCGGGGAATCAGTTTTGAGAAGCCAAGATAAGAAAGGTAGAACAATGGTAGAACTGCTGGAATCTTCCAGCCCATGGCAGGTTGCGCACTTGGTTCAGCCGTGTCCCCTGTGGTACGAGGCGGTGGTAATGTGCTGCTCCTGGATTCGGATTTTGATTTTTTCCTTCCCTGAGGATATTGCATTATGCCATCTCCTGGATGCAGTGGCTATGCAGTGAGTGGCTGAGAGATGGCCAAGATTCTGGGTTTAGGGTGTCCCATAATAGGGATCCAATGCGTTCGGTCTATGTTGGGGACCTTTTTATGGAGATATGTAGATTGAGAAGAGAGAGGTTTCCGGGTTTGTTTTTCTGCTGCCATAGCCATCTTAGGCCTTCACGAGCCTGTGCCCGCCTGAGATGTCTTCTCACAGAGTCTTGAAGAGGCCACTTGACCAAGTGCAGGAGCGCTCAACAATCTAAGGAAAGACGCGGCTGTTGTCATGCCATCTTGAACAGCAGCCTTTTCTGAGACCTGCCTGCATTCTGAGCAGGGCAAATTAATGTGATGCAGGCTATTGGATGCTATTGGCACATGGCATGTTTTTAACAACCATGCTTGTATCATGTTTTCGCAACCCGAGTTCCAGGGTGCTCTCGGTCTCCTGAGGCTCGTTTTGCACGCTGGTGATCCTGGCGATGCTTGGCCTAGATGGTCTCAGATGCCGTGGTCTGGATGGAGCATGGAGCATGCCGAAGCTGGCTTTCGGCAGACTAGTATTATGGCACGCTCAAGGAGCATCGTAAGTGTTTGGAAACACTGAGGAATGTGCTCACCATCTTGTACACTGCGAACTGGACCATGGAAAATGAAACATTCTCGGTTCCTTATGTGCCTATGCCGCAGGAAGCAAGGTTTGTCAACTTGGAGATCAAATCCACCTCTAAACCTGTGCATGCAGATCGCTCGCAGGACATATCTGAAAATGTCTGACCAAGACTTCAGTCTTCATATCGATTCATAAAACCTCTTGCCAGTTTGCAGCCAGTAGCCTGCTGCTGAATTTCTGTGGCGCTGGCATGAGTAGCACAAAGCATTTCCGAGGCAGTTTCCGCTCTCGACATTTTCTTTTGAATCTCAACTGCACATTCTGGGGAATGCTGGAATTGCTAGATGTTCTGACTGGCAATTGCGGTTGGTGGCATTCGATCGCGACTTCATCGTCCTACCGATGAGGCACCGTCTATCTTATTGAGTCTGGACTGAAAATAAAAGTCCACAAAGCGTACTTCTTCTGGAACGAGGAGCCGCTGTTGGTGCATCAGTTCATGCGCACAACACATAGTTACCGATACGCCCACTTACTGCAATTTCTTTGCCCTTCAGTCCACGGGCTTACCGAAGCCCAGCAGATTGTGCAGGAGGCTCCTTGGAACGTATTTGATTTAATCTTGGTCGTCCTCGCGGTCTATGACCTGGTGGTCTTCTTCCTGGAGTGGCTTGCTTGCAGTCCAGAAGCAAGTTACACTGGTAACACTTGGATGCTGTGTTTCACTTTGGTGGGAGCAGGCTTGAACTGCTGAAATTCGCAAATCACGCAGCTTGCGCACAGCAGCGATGAAGTCGCCAACACTGAGCTGGCTTCAGGTTCTCTGATGGACACAGCGCCAACATGAACTTCATGAGGCATCAGCAGGGTGCAGCAATGTCAAGTCTTACAGGCAAAGGCCTTCAAGGCTTGGAGAGTTACAATCTGACACTAAGTTGCACTAAACAAGCTTCCCAGTTTGGAGCTGACGAGGTCGCTGCGCATCGTGAAGGTCTCGCGTATCCTCAGGCCAGCATGCGCTTGTTTGGCTTTGCCACAGGGACGTGTCATGACTTGCAGCTCGAATGTTCGGCGAAAGATTTCCAAGACCAAGACGCGTTGTGAGATGTATCTTTCGAAGCATGTAATGTTCACCTCATATTTGGACAAGGGAACCCCCTGGCCCAGGGACTTAGGTCCAGAATCAGACGTCATGTAAGACATGTCTTGATTTTGTGAGCTCTTCTGAAACGAATGATAGCTTTGTCAACGTATTGTATAATTTTGCCGCTTTACACTGCGCGGGCCGCTTTGAATTTTGCAATCACGAGCGGGTTGATATTTCTGTGCTGGAAGTGGGCTTTGCCGTTTACTTGGACATTTCTTAAGCTGAGGTGTACAGTAGCTTGAGAGAGAGGCTGTGAGGACCAACTGGCGCCTCCGTGTGATTGTTGGCGGTCAGAAGCATGACATGCTTTTGGGGAGTTTGGTCCGCAAAGCGCTGGTCCTTCAGTCCGTTGTCGAGTCTTGCTCAGACAACTTCAGCGTACATGCAGAGCGAGGGTTTGCTTTGAAGTCGCATGAGGAAGAATTGGCAAAAATTGCCCAGAATGTGAATCTTTAGCCGCCGCTGCTGTCTCCTGCTCTGGGGCCAAGTCTCAGGCCTCCACAAGCAGTTTAGATGGCATTCTAGAGTATAGGCAAATCTTCAATGCGCAGTGTTGGTGTAAGCGTAGGGCCGAGAGCAGTGCAGCTTGCTCAGAAAATGACAGATTTTGGGACTTGACCGTGAATGGTTCATGTCACTCACTCGCAATGGGTGTGTGTTGTCACAAGCATTGTCACTCGCTTTTAGCCAACCCTGAGTCTTGAGGACCAATGCCGGCGCTTATGTTGTAGAAGTACTGTAGTAGGCGTTTTCCGAGAGAAGCTGTCTCAGACTCTCTCATGCCTTGCGATGCAAGGAAATCAGCGCATGGTCCAGCTGGCGTTCCCCCCAAAATTGCTTCCCACTCGATGAAAACTTTTCTTTGTCTTTAACATCGATCCGCAAAAGTTCGCGTCAGTTAACATGAACAGATGCGCTTCCGCGTCAGCTATTCCTGGGTCCGCGTCAGTTTGCGATAGCACAAGGTGACCTTTACGAAAGGTTCAAAGGAATTTGGTCATAGAGCTTGCAGAGATTCCCTTTTTTGACGTACTTCCTGCAGCCTGCCAGGCTTGTCCGGGTAATCCGGGTGTTTCGAGATCTCCGCTGCATGCTGTTCTCCATCATTTGGTCGTTCAGCTCCCTCTTCTGGCTTCTCGACCAAGAACAGATAAGCAGAGGGTGCACAATGTCGATGCAGGTGGGGGAGTAGAGGGGCAGCGGGACCGGATCGGCGCAACGACGAACATCCTTAGAAGCGGCTAGAGTCGGCTAGAGCAGCTACATGCGAGTGGGCAAGATCGCAATCGCCGCATATAGTAGTCGATGACAATGACAGCGAGCAAGCCTGCGTGCGAAGGGCCTTTAGTCCAGCATGAGGTGCCTGGTGCTCATCTTCTTCGTGATTCTGGTGTTCTCATTGCTGATCGTTCAGCAGCTCGGCACCGTTGGCTCCGTGATGCTCTGTTGAAGCTTTATCAGTCGTTAGTGTCCATGGCATGCTACAACTGCTTCAAGAGTAGTTTCCATTTTTCCATTATCCCTACATAACCACTATTATATGATCCCTTTACAAGCCCTATAACCCCTATACTATAGCCCCTACATGAGTTTCCTAATGTCCGAAGGCGCGATCTATCCATGTGCAAGAGTTGCAGTGACAGCGGAACGCCAATATGGGTTGTTCTCAAGATTATGGGCCCCTAATAGGGTTTTACAGGGTTCTATAGCGTTTTACAGGGCTTTATAGGGGTTGTTCTCAAAATTATGGGCCCCTGTTGGTCATAGACAATATTTCGGCACATAATTTTAGGGGTACGTACCAAGATGGGACCTCAAATTTTGGGACCTACCCATACAATGCCACAGCACAATCTTTGAGCACTTGCCTGCTCTGGCATGGGGATAGCAGAACAGCCAAAATGAGATTTTGCAGTGCACGGGCTGCCAAAAGTAAGGTTGGTCACTGAGTACATCATTGAGCAGGCACGCTGGTTGGCTGTGCATCTGTGCTTGTTGAGCGTCATCGTTCCACCCTCAAGGGCAACACACAGATCGGTATGGCCCCAGAAAGATACTCCTTCTCTGGTCGCTATGGAAGCGTCTTGATTTCAAAGATGATGGATTGGCGCGGCCAGCGCCGCCGCCACAACCCCCGCCAAGACTAGCAGTGCTGCCGCAATGCCACAAGCGACCCCAAAAGCCACGACGACAACCCTGGTACAAGCAAGACAGCTCCTCAGCCCCCCTGGCTTGTGCTTTTGGAAGGATCCGGTGGGGGACCAGCTCAAGCGCGATTTCCTGTACTACTTTGGCTCAGCGGCTTGGACTGCAACGGGTTCTGGGTGCGGTTGTACATGACTCTCACAGAAGTCATAGGGTTGTTCTGAAACCTTGCTTCTCTTTACATGGCGAGTTCGAAGCACACGGTTCCAGGGGGTGTATTCTTTTTGCGCGAAAGCCGCGCGAAAGCGCGATGACATGTCTTGACTCATGGTCTGCCCAGAGAAAGCTCTGCGAAAGTCGCGGCAGTCGCTAAGTTTTCGGGAAAAGGAATTTGGAACAACCTGACATAACCAACATATGAATAGAGTATTGATTGTGTGACATGCTCCCCGACCCCACTTGCAGATGTGGCACGTGTTGCAGGTCCAGGCGACGATGGCGACTTTGTACCAGCCCCTAGGACAAGACATCAGGGAGACGGGAAGTTATCATCAAAGAGACCTTTCTCTCACAATGCGTCGGTCAGAGAGAAGATGCTGGTTTGGCTGCGACATGGTTTTTGATTCACGGCAAGAGTTTTTTTCCGGCTTTGGCAGTTCACAGAAATGCAGTGCAACCAAGGGCAAGTACCGGCGGCGTGGACTGGAGAAATCCCTATGAGCTGCTAGCCCCTGGGCGGCCAGTTTAGACGACTGCAGGCTGGCTAAGTCCACTGCCCAAGCAGCTGCGCATTGAGGCGTACACTGGCGAGATGAGCTGTATAGCCTTCCTGTTCTATGAGCCTCGGCTTTTGGGGTTGAGATTGCCTTGTTCGCTTCTTAACGGAGGGTCATGTTTACTCGAGCAGACAGCTGCAGAGGTGGCATTTTTCGAGTTCGCTGTGTTCAACGTCCTGACGGGCGCAGCTTGTTCACAGAAGCGGTGGGTAAGAACACAGGGCAACAGTGATCTGCAGCATCTGTAGCGGCCCCTTCCGCAGCCCAGGTTTTCGTGGACCACGCGATGAAAGCACCTTGGGGGCAGACTGGTGCATGGTGAGAGTCATCGGGCCAGGGTGCGCCTTTTGTCGATTGTTGCTTGGGTCATTCCCCCTCCCAGTAACTGTCCTTAAAGGGGGCCTCATTAAGGGGCGATTATAATTCCTATTACCCCTTGTGGTAACTGTTACTGTAAGGGGGAATAACCCAAATTGTTGCACCTATCTCGAGGTGTCTGCAGCGGATCGTGAGCTGGCTTTGGCAGAACAAAAGAAGAAGGAGCGCACAGAGGTTGGGCGTTTGCCTTTGTACTTTGTGATGCTTATAGACCCTATATAACCCCTATAATCCCTGTAGTTTCCATTTTATTTTCCATTATCCCAATATACCCCTAATATAACCCCAATATAACCTTGAGGGATCGAGGGCCCTGACCAAGCTCAAGTTCAGGCAGAGCGCCTTCGGGACACCTGCCGCATTATAGATGCAGATGGGGATGGAAAGGCCCGTTGAGCACGAACTTGCTGCGGCTTGTAGGCTTGGGCTTATCTTGTGCCAGTAGTTCAGCAAGATTGCCGAATGAGCTCGTACATGCCGTGTAGACCAACCTCAACTGCTGCGCAGATTTCCTGGGTGGAGTTCCATGACTTCCTGCAGTTCGCACGAGCCCAAGATCCTGATGTCTTTGTGGCAGTGCGGACAAGTGTAGCATGAAGAAGCCAGGAAAGTTCCCTCGTCTTTTGCGTTGATTTGCAACGGCTGTGGCAGCCGGCAGGAGAACGGCTACCGAAATATGGCTTCGCTCGGCCTGGACATCTTCGATTCCAAGAAGTTCTTCAAGTAGCTTGGTCTGAAATTCCAGATTGGACAGCAAGCTAAGTCAAGATACGGGACCAGAGAACGTACGGCTTCTGAGTTCTGTTGTCGCCTCTCCTGACCTCAAAGTGGAAAGGCGTTGCTGCAATCAGATGGTAGAATCAGACGGAGGAACTTGATGGTGATGACCAACCAGCGCGAGATCGAGATTACGCAGTTTGTCTCTGGATGCATGCGCATGAAAGGCTCGGGTTATGCTGTATGCAGACATTGTCTATGGCTACCATGATGTACTATAATAGACGATAATGTATTGTAATATACTCTAGTATACTATCATCTATTATAGTATACTATGATGTACTATAGTATACTATATTATATATATATATTATAGCATACTATGGTGTACTTTAGTATACTACAATCTACTACAATGTCGTAGCTTTGCTTCTGGCAGCTCTGTGTCCAGGTGCTGCTACAGGCCGCTTGCTTGCAAGGCAGATACTGCAGGATGGTTGCCACGGGAATGAAGTAAAAGGAAGCTGCTGCAGTATGTTGGGGTTGTATAGAGATCATGGAAAAGAACATGGAAACTACTATCATAGGGTTTACGTTAGGGTTATAATAGGGTGTATGTTAGGGTTATAATAGGGTATACATTGGGGTTATATAGGGATAATGGAAAAGACAATGGAAACTACTACATTATATTGGCGTTATATATTGGGGTTACATGTAGCCCGCAAGTCTTGCCATGGCGGGCTACGTGGCGTAAAGGATGCCGTCTAACATGTTCGGGCAGGAACGAACTGTACGGGCGAAGTCTTCAACAACAAGTGCACATGCATGCTTTCCACTACCAGGATTTCGTGGGTTGGAAAGCCCCCTCAAAATTTGATAATGGAAAAGAACATGGAAACTACTCTAGTATGTTGGGGTTATATTATGGGATAATGAAAATAAAGTGGAAACGACTGTTTAGGGTTTAGGGTTAGAATTCAAAACTCTTCGAACTCCCCAAACCCTAAACCCTCAAGCTCATATAAACTTACCATTACTTAGGGTTCCCCAATTGCCATCATTTCAGAATTTCAAAGCCCGAAATCCGCCCACCAAATCCTAAGTGATGGTAACAAACCCTAAACCCTAAGCCCTAAACCCTAAGCCCTAGACCCTAAACCCTAAACCCCTAAACCCTAAACCCCTAAACCCTAAAGCCCTAAACCCTAGGCATCGACCTCCACACCCTGGTGTCCGATCTCTCCAGTTTTTCGCGTAGGCAAGAGCAGCTCCAGGCTCCGTGAAGCCAGGGTTTAGGGTTTATAGGGTTTAGGGATTAGGGTTTAGGGATTAGGGTTTAGGGTTAAGGGTTTAGGGTTTAGAGCTTAGGGGGTTTAGGAGTTTAAGGTTTAGGGTTTAGGGTTCAGGGTTTAGGGCTTAGGGTTTTAGGGTTTATAGGGCTTAGGGGTCTAGGGTTTAGGGTTTTAGGGTTTAGGGTTTGGGGCTTAGGTTTTAGGTTTTGGGGGTTTCTCAAAAATATTGGGGTTATATAGGGGTTATATGGAGATAATGGAAAATAGACTGGAAACTATTTAGGGTTTAGTGTCTAGGGTTGTTTTAGGATGTTTTGTTTAGGGTTTAACGCCCGTTTTGGGTCGTGAGCTTCTGGTTCCTGTTTAGGAAGAGTTCAAACCCTAAACCCCGAACCCTAAATAGTAGCTGATCCCTATATAACCCCTATATACCCAAACCCAGGGTCCCCTTAATAAGGATTATCGTATATTGAGGTCCCCTCATTTTCGGAAACTGCCATGGTAGGTTGCGTAGGCGTCATATTCTACTCTAGGCCTATAGATAGTGACAAGCCTATAGTGACATACCGGCCCGCCGGCAAAGGATGTAATAGGGATACATAGGGAATTTATCCCAATAATGGAGAACAGAACATGAAATAGAAATTGACGCTTATGGATGGGTAGCAAGTAAAACCAAGGTCGCAATCCCAATCCCACCCCGTACTCGCACACACGCGCGCAGCGGACAGCTCCATCATCAGCACGAGCTATTCTCGTCTATTCTCACCGAAATGTATTGAAGGGGGTCAGATACTTTTCCAATACTTGAAAACTCTGCTTTGGGAGCACGTGATTTGATTCATGTGGTCTAGGACTCTGCTAGCACGCCTTCAAAACATGGTGTATTCCCCAAGATCACGTTTCAACGTTTCATAAAGCCGTCAAGGCCCTTAGTCCATCTTCATGAAACAAGCTACCTAACTAACTTTCATAAAGCCGACAAGACCGCACACTGGCACGAACGGGCGGTGTTGCACGTTCGTGATTCAGCGAGAAACAGACATTACAACCTCGCAATCGGATTAAACATGATGAGTTCCAGGACCTTGTCGCTGCCAGCGCGCACAAAGAACCGTTTTCAGCAAGGGACGTGGCGTTGTGTTTGAGAGCAATCCCGCCCGCAAAGGCGACAGTGCGGGGCGACAGTCCGCTCTACATTTTTCGGGCACAGTGCGTTGTTACATGGAAGTGGCAGCATCACCTCGAGTTTCTCTCTTGGGGTCGGCATGTGCTCGGTGCCTTGCAGAGGCTCTAGCAATGCCAGGAAATCTCATCCCCAGATACGGCTCGTGAACAGCCTGGATCTTCAAAACAAGTGGCCAGACACTATCCACGCACAGAATGCAAGCATAAAACGGTCATGATTCATGAGTTCGTCCTTGGATTACATTGCGCGTGTTGCGAGTCCACCTGTCTTTAGGACAAGCGGCATTTCAAGGGATTGGTCTTGTGGCCACGCTCCTTGGAATTGGGGTCTCAAGAAACTCAAGTCGGGAACCTTGAGTTCCAACAACACGTTCAAGAATGATTTTGACTGGAACTTTCCACGAGGTTGGAATATGAAGGCAAACAGCACGCGATGGAGCTTCCACAGTCTTGCATGGCTGTGCAGGACGTGGTGATGTCGTTGCTGAGAGACCGCTCGATCAGGCTTCCCGTCTTCTGTATTGATGAAGCCTTCACCTCCTGACTGGAAGCTGCATCACACGTTCACGGTGGTGTCGCACAAAGTTTCTATATATATATATATGTAGACCAGTTATATAGGGATGATGGGAAAGAACATGGAAACTACTATAGTGTATTATATTGGGGATATATATATATACACACATATTGTGTATATATATATATATACACACATATTGTGCGCAAGCCTGCCAAGGTTGAGATCAACCGAAAGGTCTCTCGTCTGCCTGGATGAAAATCTGTTTCCACCGAGGAAATGCCTGAATTAATGCAGACCACGCATACAAGCAGTATGTGGAGGAAGGGTACTCTAGTCTATGATACATTTTAGAGCTGCTTCTGGCTTTTTATATGATGAGAAGAGCATAACTTTAAGTTCGTGGCTCAACAACTGGAATGGCACTACTTGAATCACCTTCTAGTTGCGAGCGCGCCCACTTTGAAATCAAAGCATTCGCAGTTCGTGGCATAGACTTGTCTTCCACAAGAAGTGCAGACTACATAGGCTAGCAGTGTGAGCCTCAAGCTGCCTTCCAAATCTTCTGCTGAGGATGGCTACAACGCCCATGTCGCAGGCTGCGCCTGGTGCTGTTTCCTGTCCTGCTCACTGCTCTTATATCTCTTTTGGATTGGGCTTTGCCACCTCCGTGCCTGTGCACTGAAGCATGGACTCCTTGGAGTTTGCAATGTAAGCACGGCCACAAGTTGGTTGTGACATAATGTGAGGTCTTGATCATGTTGGGGAAGACTTCAGACATGGATCTCGCTTCAAATGTAAAATCACTTGAATGAAGCTGCCGCAAGTAGCAATGCAGCTTGATGAGCATCTTGCATTTATCGATGACAGCTCTGCTCAGGGGCCATCATCGCCAACGATCTTTGCATCACACAGCAGCACGTCGCTCCCCTCCGAGGGCAGGACATACTGCAGTAGCAGTGTCAAGAAGGGTCACGAGCAATTGAGGTTTGTTCATACCCTTACCTACTGGGGTGAGTAGGGAGTAAGAGAATACATATATATTTTTTTATATATGAAGATATTATATATGGGTTCTATAGGGACTATGTCCTCTCATTCCCTACTAACCCCCGGTAAGTTTACGTATCACTTTCTAGCTTCGTTCTGCTCTTGTCAAGTCTTCTCCATTCTGGCACAGTCGCAGGAGTAACAGCCAGAACCTGCTAGCCGTGGTTCCCAGCGAAGGACCCTGACTCCCTTCATGTTGCTGCAAGTGGGTTTAAGGTTTGGGGTTTAGGGTTTCGGGTTTAGATTAGGGTTTGCCGTTCAGGGTTTACGGGAAATTCGCCCCGCAACCATGCAGAATCAAATGGCAAAGAACATGGCACATGAAATGGAAGCTGGATTATATAGGGGTTTATCGGGTTTTGGTAGTTTCCATACCTGAAGAGGTACCCCGAATCTTGGTAAACCCTAATCTCTACACCCTAAACTCTATATAACCCCTGTATAGCGCCCGTACAGGAACCCCTACTATCCACCTTTGAAGGTACCCCTACTTTGGGAAGCCCCCACGTGATGCCAAAGTCTTTGGGGAAGGGAGCATCATCTGGGAACGGTTTAGGGCTTAGGGTTGGACAGGTCCGGGCATTTGCTGCAGAGCGGGTCTAGGCTTTATGGTTACATGCTGGTTGTTCTAAATGTCCTTGTGAAGGAGGACCATTGGGAATACACTTCCTTGAAAAGGGGATCCTAAACAGGCAGGGAACCTACATTATGACCACTTTGGAGGCATACATGTTGTATAGGGAATGATGGACAAGAACGTGGAAAGGGGAATATGTTGGGGATTATGTGGGGTTAGATAGAGATGTTACCCCAACGAAGGACAATCAATTGGACAAGAAAATGGAAAGTGCAAGCAACTTGTGCAATCCGATTTTTCAAGCCTAAACCCTAAACCCCAGACCGCCTGGCAAACCTGGTTTTGGCGCAGGCAGCAGAGGTATCGATGCCGCGCCGTCGAAGCCACTACGTGCAGGACACTTCTGCTTCAAGCTTTGCTCCACTGGTAATATTGGGTTTATATGGTGTTATTTTGGGATAATGGAAAATAAGATGGACATTACTATTTAGGGTTTAGGGTTATATGGGGTTATACAGGGAAGTATGGACAAGAAAATGGAAACCCATGGTTATAGGGGGTTATATAGGGTTATATGGGGAATGATCACAATTGAAACCACGACATTTTACGGGGGGAATGCATCGGGATTATTTGGGGTTATTTAGAGATTTGATTGCCATAGCTGATGTGCGAACCCTAAACCCTAAGACCTAGCTTGTGGGCAGCTACTTTTCAGTGCTGACCACATCTGGTTGATGCCGCTTCTTACACCAATCTCGCTTTTTCCTACTGGAGACCCCTATGTGAGGACAGCGTACTCCAAGTTTCCAGCTTTTCTTTTCGCTATCAGCTACTGTCAGCATCAGGCTTTTAAAGGAACCCTTAATAGTTTGACATAGGGGTGCCTCTTGTAGTTTAGTATAGTCTAGTATTAAGTCCCTAGTAAGGAACCCATGTCTATTCATTATACGGGTTGCATTGACTGTAGGTCATAACTCCCCTTCCTAATCCGTACATAGGCCTATGCCCTATGTACTGACATCCATCATTTTCCATGTTCTTTTCCATTTGATCCTCCATATATTGTGCAATATCCCTAAACCCTAAGTAGTAGTTTCCATTTTCTTTTCCATGATGTATTCCTATATAGCGTTTCCATCATTGATGGGTATCCCTACATATCCCCTCTATAATCCCAACATATTCCCCTATATGTTGGTTTCTAGTTGTTTTCCATTGCTCGCTATATAACCTTATCCTATATGACGTATATCACCCAATACTTCATGCATCTCCAAGTGACAAGGTTCCAGACTTTGATAGGGTCATATAAGGATTACATTGGGGTTAGATATGGACTATGGATTTTACAGGGAGCAGTTATAAAGGATTACGAATACAGGGGTTATACAGAGGTCACATATGAACTACACAGGGATTATGTGGGCAGGTGTTTTATATGTAAGGACTGTAAATAGGGTTGTGTAGAGGTAATGGAAAACAAGGAAACTACTATTTAGGGTTTGGGGCTTCATAGAGTTGCTCTTTTTTCCCAGCACGTGTTACCCTAAACCCTAAACCCCTTAAAAAGCAGAAGATTCTGCTTCATAAGCCACTCAAGACCTGCCAGGCGGTCTGCGACACTCGAACACCGGGCAAAGTCAGTCTTCGGAAGGCCTTGCCCTTGGATAGATGACAGTCTTGCGGTACACCTTGGGTACTGCCCCCACTCATTAACAGTTGGATAATATTTATAATATAGTTATATATATATAGCCCTTAATATGCTCCATAATGTAGACTGTTAATGGGTGGGGGCAGGACCCAAGGTACACCTTACTGTGGTTTGATGGACTGCATGAAGATAGGGGCACAGCTCAGCAGAAGTTGGGAAGCGACACTTCTGCTTTACAAGGTCATGCAAAGCTTGTAGGCGTCCCTACTGGTATCCCTACTACACACGAGTCCAGGTTACCTTTCTCTCGATTCGATCGTCCCGAGGGGTCTGAAGGAGGACATGGATGCGGATTCGCCTTTTCGACATTTTGACGTGGTTCGGTGAGTAGGCAGCAACACGTCTCATTTGATATTCTGATAGAGCCATGCAGTCTTTCGGGATTTGGGAAAGCTTCACTTGCTTTCAACTGGGTGCCTGTCCGCCACCCTCACGCCCTGCGGCAGCAGCTCGCAGCAGGAGGACAACGACCGGACGTACAAGTTGCGTATGTGAGCGTCGAGCGCAGACGCGGGCATTTACAGAGGTGCTGGTGTGGCCTATCCCCTATATGACCCCTACAAACCCTTATATAATCCCTGTATAAACTCTACATAATCCCTATGTAACCCCTATATATATCCGCTATATAGCCCCGAAAAGGCTAACAGTACATTCCTTATCAAGGGCAAGACCTGCCTGGGAAGCCTTCTTGTTACCAAGCAAGGCAGAGAACCATTGTAGGAATAATAGTAAAAATACTAATCATAATAGTAATTTCACTAATGATAGCAGTAATGATAATAGTAGTACTTCTTGTAATAATCATAATGACAGCAGGAATAGTAGTAATGGATCTCTTGACAAGGGACTTGGGCTTGTATCCTCACGGGCTTATAGCCAAGGTGCTTATATGCTCAATCACACTAGCAGCCAAAGCTTTTGTCAGAGGAAGTCCAACTCCAGAATGTTCTCTTCCAAAATGCTCAGATTTGAGCCATGCAAGGATCAGATGAGCTAGGCCACACCACACTGGGTTAAGAAGTGCAGAGCATTCAAGGCCTTGCAGCTGTCAGCAGCTGTGCCGTTCCCGCGGCAGTTGAAATGGCGGCGTGCAGTGCAAGCTACTCCAGGGACTCCGATAAGGGACGACTGGGGCAGTCTGCAGCAGCCGCCCTCAAAAGACAGCGCCGGGGCTGACTTCGCCCCAAAAACGCCTGGCAGGCATGGATAGCACACGCACCCTCAAACTTTGACAACGAGTTGATGTCTTTCTGCATCTGACAAGGTCATGTAGTGCTACGTAGCTTTTCCCAGGTTTCCACGCCATGGTCCAACTGTGAGAAGCAATCAAGCAAAGTCTGTTGTGGACGAAGTTATTTCGACTGATAATAGCTTCACGTTCTTGAGGCGACCGATTCAGTCCAGCCATTTACATTGTTGAGGCTGATGTGGGCGAGCAATGCCTGTGATTCCTTGAATTCTCTCACGCGAGGAGTCTAGTGTCTGGAGGCCCACATGCTGCTTATGAACCCCGCATCAGCCTTTACGCCTTCCTCAAGGGAGTGCGTGGCGCAAGCCATCCGCGTCAGCGTCGCATACATGCCAAAGGCAAGAGGTGAAACAGAAAGGTTGTGACCTCCGACGCTGTTCCAAGTCAAAAAAGGATCTCCTTCAAGCCTTGCCGTGTGGAAACCGTTTTCTTTGCCTTCTATTTTTGCTATTTATTCTATATCACTATTATTACTATGACTATTCTTATTACTATTATTTCTTTCTATTATCACTATTTACCTATATTATTCTCCCTCCAGTCTAATTTTTGCTGTAGCCACGGAGCTCGAAGTCCTGGGTGCCTCTCGGCCAAGCCGTGTAGTGCGCCAAAGGCCCTAGGGTCCGCTGAGCACTGTCCCTGATGCTGTGATTTTAGGGTTTTAGGGTTTCAGGGTTTAGGGGTCCAGATTGAGGGGATTGAGATTCAGAAGCTAAATTCTAACATTATCCAGGCTTTCTGAAGGGCAAGCACACCTACTGTACAGAAAACTACAGAAGATAACGTGAAAACATGGCAACGTGATCGACAAGCACATTGTTGCACGATTGCACTTGGGCTAGGCTTTGCTTATCTGATTTTAGTCATTTTAGTCATTTTAGTCAGCATTTCTGTCCTGGGCCGCTGGCCAGCAGAATTGTAGATTGTTGTCAGAGCCCTGAAGAAGCAAGACAAATCAAAGCAGTGCTTGCTCGCTGCCTCGTGTAGATTGCCTACCCTCTTTCGCCTTTAGTGGGGGCGTGCCTGCTGACCAACTGCCCGGAGAGCCCATTGTCGCACGTGTGCAGGGCTTGGGATGACGATTCCTCAGAACAGAGCGGGCTTGCCCATCGTGACTGGGCAGCAAGAAAGGGGCCACAGCAGCTTAATGATATTGGTTTTAGCAAAGCTATGTTGCACTGTGCATTGTTTGTGGCGCATGCGCTGGTTTGGGGCATCGTGCCATCGTTGTTGTCAGAGGACTGATTGGCTGTTTGAACCTGATGTTGCAAAGCTCCCTAGCAAGAAGGCGCCTCCGCCACACTTGCAGATCAGTTCCGCTCTCAGGCGTTGCATGGCCCCACTATATCCCCTACATAACCCTTATATAACCCCTATAACCCATGCAGGCATGGGCATCCTTTTCCTCTCTGCTGCTTGTGACGCGTATAGACGCGCAGCTCAAGGCCGAAGCGCTCGGCGAAGAGCTCTGAGCGAGGCCCGGTACTGGCGCTGCATGGCCCTGTAATGCCATGCATATTAGTTCTACTATGATGGTAATTATGTTTCTTTCGCTGTGCTCAGTGACCATGACCTACTTTAGCCATGCCCTTCGCCACCGTCCGGTCCAGCTGCACTGCAGCTAAACACTTTGTTCCATGGAAGCCGACCCCTGATGCTTTTGACGCTGCCAGGCTTTTCACCTATGGTATAATCAGGAGGGCTAAGGTATGTTATGGTATATTCCGCGACTGTCAGTTTGAAACCTAGATTCAGGTGTGAGTTTCCGGAAACTAGTCCTCTTTCGGGGTCCATTATAGAAGGATTGTAGTAAATGGGGGTCTAGAGTGGGGTCTCCCCCTTTTACTGGAATTACCATCAGTCTTACATTAGCCACACTTTTGCAGGTGGCTCGCAAGACTTTGCCGATACCGGGTCCTAGTCTCGGTCTGCCAAGGCTTGCTTTGAACGCTTCTTACTATAGTTCTGAGGGGTAGTAGGGACTAAGGGAATATTGGGGTTATAGAGGGATAATGGAAAAGAAAACGGAAGCCACTACGTTACAATGGGGTATGCATTGGGGTTATAGCAACGAATACGGGAATATATTTGATGTAGGGATTATATTCCCTAACCGCCAGTAAGGCTGTTGGATAATCGGGTTCAACCACAATTTCTCCTAGGGTAAGTCACAGTTCTTACACCGTTTGTAGGATTTCGACTTTGTAGGGATGATGTTGCTCCGGAACGGGCATCTTTATGGAAACCAGGATGTCCGAAGTCACGTGGGGTTCACACTAGAAACCATACAAGTAGCTGGACACGGGGGTCCCTACACCAGTTTTCTGAAGTATACTCCTTATAAGAGCCCAGGATAGCCCAGGTCCTTTGAGCAGGGTTGCAAACTTGTTGTTGGGGCCTTCCAACCTAGGACAGATCCTACTCTAAGCAAGCAGTATCAAGCGATGGAGGCTATGCTGAGCAGGATTGGCCATGAATGACAAACAGATCTATGAAAGCGAATCTTGGCCTCAGGTTACACGGGACATCTTCGGGCGCACAAGGTTGAGAATGTCTTTGGAGCCACCTTCGGCGAGGCCATAGTAATGACTAGGGTTCCTCCTTAGAGTCCCTGGCTAGGAATGAAGCAGACTGCAGACTCCCGCACAAAGCCAAAGAATTTGTCATGAACGCCGAGAGGGGCTCGCATGGTAACGAGTAACGCCCGGGCTGTTTTTTCGGCCTCTGGCGGGCCCCCATGCTGCTTTGGGGGAACAACGCCCGGTACTCGGTTTTGTAGGCCAATGATATACGTCGATTCAGACACACCTGGTGGGACCAGCGCAGAACATGCTTCACCTGCATGTTAGGTAAGTGGGCTTCCGCAAAGAGAGGTATTGTAAGTAATTGTGGCAACAAAGCATCATGAGACAAAATCTGTGGAAGGGCTCAATTCCGGAAGACCTTGGATTGAACTAGATTTTCGACTGGGTGGAACAGGTGTGCGTAAAGCGCTTCACACATCATCCTGCCCCCCCTGTGTCCAGGCCCTTGTTGTCGCGCAGGGTGCAGGAGGCTTACTGAAAGAGTCATGGGAGCAAATGGTGCTTCTTCCTTGCTCCCATCCAGTGCTTGCTCAGGCCCGGAATCGTCGCGGTGCCGACGAGGACTCGCTGGAAGGGCATGGGCGAAGTGCTTCCAACTGCATTACTTAGAGTCTTAAAGCAATCTTAGAGCGTTCGTGCTGCAAATGATTGGACTTCTGGCCTGACAGCAGCTTGCCCGATCTGGAAGGATTTCTCGGCACATACAGCCTCCCGGATGCGTGGCGCCAGCAATTGTTGCCGACAAGTGAGTCCAAACTTGCGCGTATAGTGCTGGGAGGTGTTTATGCAAAGCTTCTTGGTTTACTTTAATATGGCTTCCATAGACATTCTCAGCTGGAAGCATGGCAGATAACATTGATGGCGGCTCGCTCAATGCCACGAACGGCCACAAGCTTGGGACGAACGAGCCGTTTGCAAAGGCGACGGCATGCTCAGCTGTAGGGGTTAGGGTTTTGGGTTTAGTGAGCTTACCGAACATGTCAATGCAACAGTATGCTAATTACCCTATTTTAATGTCGAGTTTCCTTTTCCTTTCCCATTCTCCCTATAACCCCAACATTTTCCGTTATTCCCGGAGCTTGCTGGACTTGGGAAACTTTAAGCCACTGTATCGTAGTTTCCATTTCATTTTCCATTTGATTCTCCTTTATACTGGGCCCTAAACCCAAAACCCTCAACCCTAAACCCCCTAAACCCTAAACCTAATTTTGGTTCCGCCGTCTTGGCTCATAGTTGGTGGCCTTCTGTATGGCAGGAAGCCAGTCGTGCAGTCCAGACGGCTTCTGGACTAGCTTTCACCTTCAAGGATTTTGTAAAGGGACTTGGGGGTTTCCCAAAATTAGGGGTACGTTTTCGGTGGGTCCCCATAACAAGGACTATAGCATTTTGGGGTCTATATCAGGGTCCCCCTATTTAAGAAAAGTACCATAAGGTACCACATTGGAGAGAGGAGGCAGTGGGATCTCACAAGGGCTAGGGCCAGCACGGCAAGGATTTAGAAAAGGATCCCAAACCCCGAAGCCCTAAACCCCTGAACCCCTAAACCCCTGAACCCCTAAACCCTAAATCCCTAAACCCTAAATCCCTAAACCCCTCAACTATGGATGCCCTCGTGTCTACGGCCCGGCCGGCTGCCAGTGTGGCGGTGCGCTCCGAAGGTTTGGGCTGCTGCTTCTCAGTTGGCCCCTTTGGCCTTGGAGCTTGTTTGTCAGATAACTTGTTCCTTAAAAACCCATATGGGGGTCTCCCAAGATTAGGGGGACCATTTCAGGGGTCCCTATATTAAGGACTACAGTATTTTGGGGTCTATATTGGGGTCCCCCTATTTTGGGAAACTACCATATAAACATATTGTATGTATGTCTATGTACATGTATATGTACATGTATAGCTGTCTAGACACCCAGCTTCATTTAATTTTTGTTTTTTCTTTCAGTTTGATTCTCCACTATGACCCTTAGCCCTAAACCTCTTCAACCTGTCCCTACTTAGAAACCGCAGATAACCCGCGCATAACTCTACATTAGAGCTGCCTCATGGTCGCATGTCTTCACACCGCTCAGGCTTCGGCGATGGGATGCGACCCTGCGCCCTCAGAACCGAGCGGATGGTGACTTTTGGCAGCTGCCGCGTGGCTCGACGAATAGGCCTGGAATGGAAGGGTGACCACAAACTCTGAAGAAATCTGGGGATGAGGCAGGTTTACGAGGCTTAAGGTATTGTAAGGTAATAGTGGAAATTAAGCGGAAAAGAACATGGAACATGAAATTACATGCATGCAGCAAGCTGGGCTCGTTGCAAGTTTTGCCCACCAAGACATGACGAGGCTATCAGAAGTAGCTCTCCCTGTGATCGTAGAGACGAAGAGTCCCAGGCTTCAAAATCTGGGTTGCTGTGAGGGAATTTATTAAGTTAAGTTACTTGTTCAGCGTTTCCGCAGATTAGGAATCGTAGAACCGCAATCTTTCCGCTTTTAGCCTGCTACTTTCAAGCTTGGTTGAAAAATGATTGTGTTCATGAGAGTTTCCTATGGCAAGGAAGCCTACTACTTACTATATACCCATATTATGGTTATTTAAACCCCGTGACCCTAAACCCTAAACCCTAAATAGTAGTTTCGACTTTAGTTTCCATTATCCCTATATAGCCCCAACCCTAAACCCTAAACCCTATATAGACCAATAGTAGTTTCCATTCTTTGCCACTATGTACCCTAAACCCTCAACCCTAACCCCTCACCCTTAGCGCCAGGAGGTCTCACAGGCTTCGCAATTGGCCGCTGCCCACGCAGTGCACGCGAGGCGGAGCGGTGGATTTCATGAGATGAGACCTGGGAGTTTTTCAAAAGGTTTAGGGCTTTAGGGTTTCTGGGTTTAGTGTTTTAGGGGTTAGCGTTTAGGGCTTTAGGGTTTCATGGCTTGGTTTTAGGGGTTTTAGGGTTTAGGGCTTAGGGAAAGACTTGGTTTTAGGGTCTAGGGTTTGCTGTTTAGGGTGTCGGGTTCAGGGTTAGGGTCTAGGTACCCCCGTATAGACGCTGAGAGGGGAGCCCCATCATGATGTTTTTCTTATGCTTCCCGAGATTCCTTTAAGGCCCCCCACCCGGCTTTAAGAACTCCCTGCATGAGTTCCGCATGGTGGGTGACACATGTGAGCTACTATCTAAACTCCCAGTATGCCCCTTAAATAATCCTTGCAGTAGTCCCCTGCATAATCCCTTATATAGCCCCCTTTAATTTTGACCCCTAAACCCTAACCCTATGTAATCCCCTTCAAGGAGTTAAGACTTTAGCTCTTGCCACTAAACCCTAAACCCCTAAACCCTAAATCCCAAACCCTAATCCCTAAAACCCTAAGCCCCTGGGTTCTCTAAACCCCTGAACCCCTGAACCCCTAAACCCTAAAACCCTTAAAACCCTTAAAGCCCTAAACCCTAAACCCCTACATAAACACCTAAACCCTAAACCCTTAAAACCCTTAAAGCTGGAGCGCGGGCGCTGCGATAGCCAGCGGCGAGCGATACCGCGTGCGCCAGGCCCGCGGACGAGCCCGAGCGAGCAGGCGGGAGGGAGCCTGGCGAGGGCGAGGGGCCGGAGCGCGCGGTAGCCGTGGCCCACGCATGGAAAGCTTGAACGTTCGTGCCAACGACAGCCTCGAAAGAGAATAACCCTAAACCTTAGGTTTCTGTGAGTTTAGTCTATGAGTCCTTAGGATTTAGGATTTAGGGTTCAGGGTCTGTAAGGCTTAGGATTTAGGGATCGGGGCCTTTAAAAATTTAGGATTTAGGGTTCGGGGCTTTTAGGGTTTGGGATTTAGGGTTCAGGGTCTTTAGGATTTAGGATCAGGGTTCCAAGCCTTGAGGGTTTAGGATTTAGGGTTCGGGGCCTCTGGATGTTTAGGGTTTGGGATCCAAGGTTCCCGGCCTTTAGGGTTTAGGATTTAAACGCCTTGGCCTGGATAGAAATGGGTTTTTTTGATCTACAGAAATTGAGCGGAAATTCAACTCACTCTCTCTTCTCCCCTCTCCTCTCTCCTCCTCTCACCTCCTCTCCTCTCCTCTCCTCTCCTCTCCTCTCCTCTCCTCCCCTCTCCTCTCCCTTCTTCTCCTCTCTCTTCTCTCCTCTCCTCTCTCCTCTCCTCTCTCTTCTCGCTCCTCTTCCCTCTCTCTCCTCTCTCTTCCCTCCTCTCTTCTCCCTATCTCCTCTCTTTTGTTTCCTCTCCAAACGCAAGTCCAAAAGTGACGACAATTCTGCGTTTCGCGACCAGGACCCCGTGACTGTTGCCACTTTTGAGGCGAAGACGAAACGCAAGTCCAAAAGTGACGACATTTCTGCATTTCGCGACCAGGACCGCCTCGATCCCTGTGACTGTTGACACTTTTGAGACTCGAAGACGAAACGCAAGTCCAAAAGTGACGACAGTTCTGCACTTCGCGACCAGGACCTTCTCGATCCCGGTGGCTGTTGACACGTTTGAAACGCGAAGACCCAACGCGATTCCAAAAGTGACGACAGTTCTGCGTTCGCGACGATTTTGGCGCGGACGCTTGCGAACACACCGCGAACGCACGGCGAACGCTTGCGCACGGATTTCGCGTCAACTCCCAACCCCCAGACCCCCAACCTCAAAACGAGAACCCTTCTGCTGCGCATTCGGGAAAAAACTCCAACGCGTAATTTGGAAACCCTAAGCCCGTTAAGGTTGAGATGTGGGTGGGTGGGTTGGGAGGGTGCACTTCACGTAGGCGCACACCACAACACACGTCCCGCATGGTGGTGTCTGCGGCACTTTGGCAAACCCTAAACCCCTAAACCTTAAAACACTTAAAACCCTGAAAACCCTAAACCCTAAAGCCCTGAACCCTAAAATCCTTAACCCCTAAACCCCTAAACCCTAAACCCTAAAGCACTTTTCGGAGGCTGCCAAGCTGGTAGACAGCCAGGGACTTGTCGTCACCCCGGAGCTGCTTCTCCAAGAAGGCCGCCTTGGCTGCCAGGGTCTGGCCCAGGGGTGTAACAGTTTAGAGTCTTGGATTTAGGTTTAGGGTGTATTGGTTTAGGGTTTAGGCGTTTGGGTTTGGGGGTTTAGACTTTCGGGTTTAGGATTCAGATTTTTGAGTTTAGGGTTATATCTTGATATACCATAGTACATTACGGTATATACCAGAATATATTATAATGAACTATGACACTCTATACAACACTATATACCATATGGAATACTTTAGTGTACTATGATTTACTATGGTGCACCATGACACCATCATCTGCTATAATACCCAACAGAGGCAAAGAGCAGGTCCGACGGGGAAAAAGCATCTTGCGCTGATGATGTTCATGCCGCATATCAGGTCCACTCCGCCAGGAGAAGGAACGCTGGACATCGCGACTTGGCCGCAGATTTGGCGGCGAAGGACAAACTAAAACAAATGCCCCGTCAAAATAGCTAGTACTTCTTGTGATAAAAGTTGTTTGTAAGGAGTGCTCTGGCTGGCCAAGCAACCGTTGGTGCTGCGGGGCTCTTGGTTTTGCTGCTGGCAATGATGAGGCTGGGTCAGCGAGTCATACGAGACTTCGTTGATGTTGGACATGCTTCCTGATTCATGTGCGACACTTGCTCCCAGCAGGTATTCAGACATATTCAGACAGCCTTCTAGGTTACCTACAGGGCTTGTACAGCACACGAAGACCTGCATCTGCAACTACACTGCCTGTACACATGCAATTGAGTGTTACTGGATTGGCCTTCTGATGTTTGTGTGTGAACTTCCATGTGAGAGGTGTGCTGCAGCAAATTTGGGGCGGCTAAGGCAGGTGTTGCCTTGCAGATGTGGTGCTAAACTCAAAAGCCTTGGCAGCTTCCATGCGCAGGCTGCTTCACGGCGAAGCATTGCTGGATTCGGAGGCACCCCAGTCTTGCCGCTGCCACAAATCATTTCCGATATCTTGGCTGTAGGCTCAAATCTTAAAGCGGGTTCTGAAGATTTGACAGACTTTGACAGGCGGCGTCGCAATGAGTTGGGGACTCGCCCTGCGGAGCCGGGGGAAAAGACATCTTTGCTTGCCCTGCAGCTCCACCCGTGAACCCAAACCAGCTGTGTGCTCCATGAATCCAACCTTGCAGACCGTCTCTGTGTACCACAATCCACGGGGTCATGACATCCGCGCCGGGGTCCGCTGCCAAGTTACCGAGGCCCTCGCACAGCTTGAGAGTTCAGACTTGAGCCTTGGGTAGCTTCCTCTGTGGAACTCACATGCAGGATTAGCATCCAAAAAACCGTTGCAGCTGAACGCTGCGTCTTAAGGATACTGTAGGCGTTTCATGAGAACTATTGATGCAGAATGTTGCATGGCCGCAACTGCATGCCGCAATGGCCCCTTGAAGCAATGTCTGAGGCTGCAATTCCTGGCTATTGCGGCTTCATTCCCTCCAAGGCACGCGACCTGTCATATCATCCATGCCTGGACACAAGCATTGAGAGCTTTACTGCTTGAGAACTACATTTATACTACGAATAGTGCCTGGCCAAGGCCCAGAGCAGCAGGGAGAGGAAGTTCCTGTCACTCTTCTATTGACATAATCAGTGTATCAACTGTGTGTGCGATATAGAGAGAGTAGGCAGGCCAGGACGCACTGATGGCTCAAGATTCCACGCAGGTGCGAGATTGTAGCAGCGTGTGTGTGTTGAGCAAGTTGACTGCGCGCCGAGCGCTGACACACTTTGCGGTTAGATCCCATATTGAGCTGCATACATGCTGGAATGACTGAGGGTCGACAGGCTAGATACTGCTAGCTGGGTTGATTCAGCGGCAAGTGTTCTGCCCAAGGTTGCTGGGAACTGCTTCGGCAAGCGAATGGCGCTGGACAACCTTCACGCCACAGAGATGCGACGGGCCAACGATGAGGCGAACCTAGTGAAATGAACCTTTTGCCAAGAGAATGTGCAGGGATGATGAATTCCTTGATGGTCAGTGTAGCTCGAGTAGCATGGCTTGCCTTTGCAACTAAATCTGGCGGAATGTAGTGCTGCAAGACATGTAGCTTGTGAGAGGGCGCCGAATGGCGGACAAACTGGATCACTGCTTGTGAGACAGATCGAAGAAGGCAGGAGGCTTTGAAAGATGTGCACCTGTGAGGCCCACGCCACATAAGCAGCATGTGGGGGATTGTCAAAATT